GTCTACTTATGCATTCTCAAAATTGAAGAAAATAAATATAAAATGAAGCAAAATTATAGAATATATTTATATATTATGCTGGAAAAAAATCGTGAATATGAAATTTCATTTATGAAACTTGATTAATTTCCCCACTTAACTAATAGAGAGTTATTTTTGAAATTTTAAGGAAATTTGTTTATTCTAAAATGGTATCCTTCAAAAATTTAACCAATCAGAAATTTAGGAGAAAAAATACAGAAAATATTTAAGTCTGTACCAAACACACCTTTAATACTTTTGCTTGTAAAAGATTATTGTGTGATCAATATGCATATTTAATTAATTCGCAAATTGCTCTTTTTCATAATGCGAATTTATATTTAATCAATTCATAAATTATTCTTTTTCAGATGCCTAAATGATAAATTTAGTTTTAATATAATTGCTTTCACATGACATTGTGTCTTTGCACAAGCATTATGCAATGAATTCAATTATGATTAATGTCAATTTACATTTAAAAAATTATAGAGATAAAGCAACTTGACGTACATTGTAGAATATATAATTTCTCCATTTCAAATTATTTTAACTTGGTGCAAAATTTTATAATTTAAAAAAAAAATTGAATATGAAAGTCAGATTTGAAGATATTTTTTTTCTTTTAATAGTATCATTCGATAGCATATATGCACTTGGACTATACATTATACGCACTTCGACTATACATGTATATAAATATTTTGCTTCTTGCCAATAAATGTCCTTTATTGGTCCTATAAGACAACTAATGTTTGTAGTCGTAGTAGAAGTTAGAGTCATGTTTACGAGTTTCACAAAATTTCTATAGTTAACTAAAACATAATTTTTATATTATGAATCTACTTAATATATCTAAAAAAACTTATTTAGAAAGAAACTGTTCGTTTCACCTTATTTTTAGTCAAATAAATGAAGAATTATGTTTGTAATGTAAACAATATGTTAAATAACTGGCACCAGTGGTCTAGTGGTAGAATAGTACCCTGCCACGGTACAGACCCGGGTTCGATTCCCGGCTGGGTGCATTTTCAGAGCAATGACGTTTACTTGCACAAATTGTGAACGATTGGGTTGTGTCACGTACATCTGATTTATATAAGATGAGATAATGTGTATCTGAGCTTTATTATTTTTTATCCGTTTTCGTTTTTCACTCGAGTTCAATAATGTCATATTTGAAATCGCTCTGTTTTTGTGATCGTAAATTATGTTTTTGTGTATATAAAAGAAATTATTTATTTATTTTCTCTCCTCCAAAGTAATCTAATATAGCTTAACTACAGGAATGGCTATTAAGTTATACTAATTTTATCAGCTTTACTAAATAAATAATCAAAATGCACGTAAACAATTTTGCTATCACGTTATATTGAGGTAATATGTAATTATGATCACAATGACATATTTAATGTTTGCAAGTAGAGGTTATCATATAATATAGCAAGTAAATATAATATAGCAGGTAATTATAATGTGTAAAAAATCATTATCATACAAAAAGGAAAAAAGTGCATAACATTTTTTTTCAACTATATCTTTTAATTATGATAGGCTAATTATAAATTTATGATAAAGCTATAGTGCTATACGTACCCCCACTCTAAAAAGTAAAAGTATTGGACTTTCCATTTGAAAAAAAAAAAAAATTAATCTTGTCAAAAGAGAATGATAATATATATATATATATATATATATATATATATATATATATATATATATATATATATATATATATGAACGTTATTAATTGTAATAATTAAAATAAGAAAGAAATTCCGGCAAAGCTTCATATTTTGCGGTGAATGTTTTCCATATTATTTTTATATAATCTGCGATTTTAGGTGATAGACAGTTGACACATTTTATATCATATCAAATATTGTGCATTATTGTATTTATGTATATATTTATAACTCATAATTCAGATGTTTAACTAAAAAAATTAGTAAAATTTAAAATATCTTATACGATAAAAAAAAATTGTCCCCACTATAGAGAAACATATTGGTGCTAGGGTTGCTTGAATACCCAAATCAACAAGAATAAATTATATAAGCTAAAATCCATTTTACAAGCTAAAATTTCTTATTGCCATTTGATATCTATTTTATCTATTATTATTAATTTATTATATTATTATTTTATTTATGGTCTTTTTTCACAATTATTTTATATATGACTTTTTTATAATTATATTATATAGTTATATTTAATTTATAATGCCTCTTTTAGCTGAGAGTTTTTTAAAAATAATCTCTTTAATTTACTCTTATTTATAAGAATCGAATTTGAATATACACCACACCTTTAAAGCTTTATTTGAGAAATTATATTGAAGATGTATCTTTAGTATTTGCACTAGCTTGCTTAATTTTTTTATTTGATTTTTTAATTATTTATACTTGTTTGGATAAACAACTTCATTTTTTCTTTGTATTTCCATTTATAATGCAACCCACTCCTCCAAAATAAAATATATTTTAGGCGGCTCTCCATTATATTATTTTATACTTTCCATCCTTAACATCTGCAGCGGTATTTTATTTTTTGTTGGAATAAATAAATTAAAAAATATTTAGTCATAATGATATAATCCAAAGACAAATTTTTTCAAAGTCATATAATGGGGTCCAACACGTGCACTTATTTTTTTCTAATCGTTTTCATTTAATTTTTATTTTATTACATAGTTTATTTTTTCACTTTTTTCTTAAGTTTGGCGTAATAATTAATATACTTAAGTTTCTAGAAATGCAGTTATTTTTTGTCTAATAATGAATGCTATTCGAATATTTATGACATCAAAACAAATTTTTATACAAATCAAGACAATTACTATAGAAGCCTTGGAGTAACAATATATATATTTTTTATAATATATAGTTAGGTTTCGAGTTAGGGTAGGCGATCTACAACCCCCTCCTCTACGGGCCATGAATACAGATAATAAAAGAGCTAAAATTTTCATTAAAATAGTTCATAATATAAAAAAGTTGAAGACGATTTAATATCTATTATATATATTATTTTTTATTAAATAGATTCAGATGAATCCTTCGATCCAATTTAACTCCGCATCTGAATGAACCCCTTTCCGGTAACGAAAATTGCTTTGTACACCTATGGTGGTGTTAAAATAAAACTAATAATAGTGCATTTGGGAGATTATTACTAAAAGAAAAAAATTGAATAAATATGGACCAGGAAAAAAAATGAAAAATCAACTACGTTATTGACTTTGAAATTCGTTTTTAGGACTATATACTAAAAAAAATATTTTATGCATTTACACTTAAAATCCATTTTCCTTGTATTATACATATGTCAAAGTCAAATAAAATCAAAAACCGATATTAGAACTCATTAAAATTATATAGACTTTATTTTATTTCAATGGAAAATTAAAGTAAATGTAAAGGTTTTGATAGTTACATTTAGCTACTAATAAATATATCTTCAAAATATGAGAAAATAAATCAAATTTTATGATGAAAAAGAGAAATCCCTTTTTAAATTAATTTAGATGCCATTGTCAAAGTTGATGATTTGATTCCCACTAAACTAAAAGTCATAATTTGATTAAATTTTTTATTATTCTTTGTTGCGCAATAAAATTAAAATAATTTCACTAATTATTAATGTTTGATATGTCATCATTTTTGTAATTATTTATACTTTCATTGTCATCATCATATATCTATATAAGTTGTAGGTGGCATAAGGAAGAGAGATATCAATTCATACACCTCATAAATAGAGATAGCTTAGTAAGCTATATGTTATCATTTTTTTTAATGAGCATGTTTTGAACTAGAACAACATTTATTATCTAATGAAGAAAATATTTGATGAGAAGATTCTTAATATATCTAATTGTAGAATCAATTTGAATATAAATGGATCATGCAGTGCGTGATGATTCAAGTTTAATTTAATTTTTAATATAGACTCCGAAAATCGAGCAGAAAAAAAATTGAGTATGAAAAGGGACAAATAGAGTCTTTTGATTCCATGGAAAAATATGACAAAATAAAAACAAAAATAGAGATCATCCATCTAGAAACTCTTGACTTTTTTAACTCTTTCCATATTTCTTTTCCATTTTTTATTTTATAGTACATAAATTAATGTGTCATTGCTTTCGATCCAAAATATTTGTCTTTTGAATAAATTTATTTCAATTGATATTTTAAGAAAAAAACTTATACATTATTATCATCACAATCTATTCTTATCGTTTAAATTAACAAAGTATTAATTAAGTTAGAGACGTAAAGACACGATAAACATTAAATAACACAAATATTCTTATAAATTAAAGGTTTTAAATATTTTCCTAAAAAGATAATAAAAAACATCTTCAAATAGCGTGAAAATAATTTCTTATAACCATTTTTTAAAAAAAAATAAAAAAAATACTTTTCTCTTATCAATCACCCTAATAGATGTGGATATAATCACATACAAATTAAACTTTTTAAATTAATCTTTTTAAATCTCTTTATTTATAAAAATAAAAATAAAAATATCTTATATATAAAAATTAAAAATGTATTTTCTTAAATTTATAAAAGACTGAAAAAATCAAATTTCTCTACGTTAAAAAAAATATAAAAATAGTACCTAACATATATACTTGGATCCATAAATATTCTATATACTACTTTATCATTTGTGGTTTTCCTTCTTCCTTTTTTCTCTGATCTGATGTTCGATATCTATATTAGATCTCAATTTTCGTGTCGAAAATTTTTACATGAGAAAGTAAAATGCTTCTAAACAAAGACAACCCTTTATATGTAATAAAAAAAAACTCAAACTAAGATACATAATTCAGAATGAATGAATACTTATCACTCCGTCACGACTCTAATCGGTATCCATGTCATTTTCATTCATTTAAGGTGCCTAACATACAAAAAGCAAGCCAATAAAAAACTTTTTTTTTTTATATTGAAAAGCAAGTCACTACTAATATACATTTATGACTTCTACATACACACATCAAACCACAAATTTTTTTCCCTCATCCCCCCACCCCCCTAAAATCCTCTCAATTTCCAAACATGTTTGATCCAAGAAACCAAAAACCCATTGATCATATACACATTCTTGATCCAGTTACACCCTCAGATTACACTTGTAACAACAATAGTCCAAAAAATGATGTTGGAGGCCTAGAAATGTCACAACAACATGTTGATGATTCTGGTATTTCTTCACCACCCTTGTGGAAAAATAGGCCATCAACAAGCCCTGATCACCCCTTTCATAATTCGACGAATCATCGATCAATTTCACCTAGCTCTAGAGCGCTAGCTATAGCTAAAGGTCAATGGGAACTAATGGAAATGATCAAGAACATGCCTGAATCATGTTATGAGTTGTCACTCAAGGATCTTGTTGAAAAAAATTCAATCTTGGAATCAAATCAAGAAGAATGTTTGATCAATAAAGAAGAGGAAAATTTCAGTACTAGCCAAGAACAAGTTGTGGTGCAAAGGGTGAAAAGTGGTAAAAAGAAGGGGAAAATGATTAGAAATGAAAGTTTTGAAGAAAAGGGGTCTTTTTTGAAGATGTTTTTTCCAATTCCACCAAAAACAATTAGTACTAAAGTTTCACCAAAGCCAGTTGAAGGTTCAAAAAGCTTGGAGAAAGATTGGTGGAAGAAGAGATTTTCTTGTTCAAGTGAGAGTGATAGTAGCAAAACAGGAAGTAGTAATAGTGAAAGCAGTGGTAGTAATGATAGCACAACAAGTACTCAAAGGTATCTTCTAATTCTTGATCTTGTTATTTTGTAAATTTTGAGGCCTCGGAGCATCAAGTTGTTTCTGCGTTACGAGTTTGAGTCATAGATTTTAAGTGCTTTGATTGTTTATGTTATATTGGGATGATTCGTGCACAGATTGTTTTTTTGTTTGTTGGTGTTGTTGGTGCACCAGATTGTTTTTTTCGAGTTGTGGACAACACTTCGATTGTTTATGTTATATTAGGATGTTTCGTGACCAGATTTTTATTTTATTTTTGTTGATTTGCAATGAGTTTTGAGATATTGGGGGTTCTTGATATTATTTGTTGAATAAATTGGGATTATGTTTATGTGATAAGATTATTAAGGTGAAATTCTTTAACAAATTGGTTTTGGAATCTTTTTTATGAAATGATCAAAGCAAAGATTAATCCTTTTTTTATCTTCTCTTGGTTGTTCTATACTTTGTGTATTCAATTTTGCAGAATATTGAACAAGACTTTTGACTTAGTTTAATTTTGGCAAAAAAAAATGGATATTAGTACAAACAGAACAGTACAAAGAATAAATTGAGATATTACTTTATCAGATACTGTGTATGATTCTTTGTATACCAGCTGTAAAAAGTAAACAGTAAATCTGTATGGCTATTCGTGTAAAGATACCTTTTAAGTTAAAGCATGTTTTATTGTTTTTTCCCTTGTTAAAAAACTGTATTTTCTTGTTTTTATAATGCAGGAAAAAGAAAGGATTTTTAACCAATTTCTGGTCAAGATCATGTTTTAGTAAAAGCAAATCAGCAGAGTGAAGACAAATTAAATATTGCCTCTCTTGTTTGGTTATGAATCCTGTAAAGCATTTATACTTACAAGACTCACAGATGATAAAAAAAAAAAAGTATATCCTGTAAAGATCTTTGATAAATAAAGATCAGTCAGAGGGTGTTTCTTGAGTTTTTGTTGCAAAGTTTATTAGAGTTTTCCCCTTTGAAACGGGAGCGGTTACGTCTAAATACCTTTTCTTATTTTCGACATATTATGGTATCCTGAAATTGGTAGAAGCAAATCGTGTTTGTCTAAGAAAATTCTATTAGGATCTGATCTATTTACTCGGCAATTCATCAACAGATTTATCTTGTTTGGTTTTGTTGTTTGGCAATTTATAGATGGATATATATATATATATATATATATATATATATATACATATTTGTTAGAAGAATATTGAAATTTGAAATTGTCAACACTACAAAAGTTTAGGCCAAGATCAATTATATTTTTGTCCTACTTTTCTTGATGGGACAATTGTCAAAGTCCTGATTTAATACTTACAAAAGTTTCACCATGAGTAACATAACCACAATTTTCATGATTATGACGAGATAGTTGAAATCCCCCCACCTTTAATCAGACGTCTTAGATTGACTCGAGCCTAAATTAGTTGAACCAATAGATTATGAATATCAGATGGTTTATCTATAACAAGAAAGATTTCTACCCAAATGAGCTTATTCGAGCTCCACGATACCGTTACTACTCGTAAAATGTATTTTTCATGGAAAAACATGGTTCAATGAAGTGGGATATCTGCCTTGTTTGTTAGAAATACATGGAAAACAAGTTACACTGATTGACCAAAATTGTTGAAAGTTGTAATTTACGCGAAAAATGTGTTGACTTTGCAGACCCCTCACTCAGTTTTGCATAATTTTAACTAAAAACTATTAACTTTAACATCCTTTCTACACAATATAAACCTCAAAACAAAACTTTCTTTTATACTGCAGATGATTTTACCTATACTTCTTGGCCTTGGCCAACTTTTTCTTCTTCTTCTTCACAGCTTTTGGTACTTTATGTTTCCGCGCTTCTCTTTTCTCTTCTTTAACTTTCTTCTTGTTCTCTTTTCTAGCTGCTTTCTTATCAGCAGCTGTTGGTTTCTCGCCATCAGATGATGAGCCTTCACTACAATCACTTTCATCGTCGTCATCATCATCTGACTCGGTTTCTGTCTCTGATTCACCATCAGATGGTTTGTTGGTTTCAGCTGCAGCAGCGGTCTCTTGTCCCAGCTCGTCAATTTGTAGGTGCTGCTGATCTTCTGCTGAAGAGTTTGTAGCGGTGAGAGCCTGCTTCAGACCTGTAATAGTTTTGTAGTACATGTCTCCTGTGTCCTCGCCACTAATAATGCGTTGAACATCTGCTTCAGCGTCTTTCACATGATCAAGTGTCTTGGGAATAAATGACTGCAATGCAATATATAGCAGTGATGAGAAACGGCAGTCTTGAGAGACGAAAAGATCTTAGAAACCCACCGAGGTGTTTAAACAATTTATCAAAACAAGCCAAACCCACAGATGAAAACATACTGCATCCCTAATACGACAGCAGTTCCCTAGATATGACCAATGTTTAGGCATATTAACACAACACTATTTTTTCAACATTCCAATCTATATTCCCTTCCTATTTTTGGGACGTCGATGAATATTGCAAGTACAATCTGACCACAAGTCAAAAGTTTGCCTTGACCTTTTATTAATGGAAACAAAAAAGTAGTTCAAATACCTAGCAGAAATAATACCTGAATAAATACAGAGTCGGCAATTTCTTCTTCTGCAGTCATGTCACCTCTAGCCAAAATTCTCTCTTGAACCTAGCATATAGTGGGGAAACAGCAAGTTAAGGATTCCAAGTCATTTGAATATAAAAGAATTTGAATCAACATTTAGCATGCATTCGATCATCCAATACATGTATGAGCCATACCTTCTCCAAATAGCTATCCACTGAATCATCATTGATAGTTGGATCAACTATAAAATCAAACAACTCTCGGATTGTCATAACAGCCACACCATGTTTTTTAAAAAAATCCTGCATGCCGCCGCCACCAGCACAAATCAATACTCATATAGCTGGTGCCTAGGTATAAGTTAGTTTTAATCCGAAATCGTCATATAAGCTTTACAATGAGAACTCACAGAAACATGTACACAATCCTCTCGGAGGAAATCAAGTGCATGAGGATGGTCAAGATCAACTGATTGTGAAACATCAATAACATATAGGTGACCCTGTATAGAGTGAAACAATTACAAGTTAGTGCCTACAACTATTAGTATAGCTATAAATATAGAGATAAAGGCCTACCTCGAAATATAGAATGTTATACTCGCTTAAGTCACCGTGGACTAGCTTGCATTTCTGATATAGAGTTCTCATTGCCATAATGATCTGGCAAATATAAAGTAGTTAATGTATCAAATTTGGGTAGAATCACATGGCACAGTGCCCATTCTAAAAGCCTTGATATGCATCTAACATCATTAAGCAGTTGTATTTCCAATTGACATCAAGTTCCTTAATCAGTGTTTCTAGTGTGGTACAATTCAGAATTCAAAGCTTAGTACTGACGGAAGAAGACCAGGGATACAAGTACTTATGATTAAGCTTATTGTTTCTTCTCTCACCAAGAATACTAAATAAAAGCATACATACAATACAAAAGGGACACCACATCGAAAGGAACCACCTCATTGCCTAAACAAACCACTAATAACTCAAGAAACTAAGCATTCTCTACAAAGTGGTGAACATAATACATCAAAGATCACTCTCATGATACTGATCAACTAATCAAGATAACAAGATATCTGGTTCAATAATCTTAATATTAAGAGATAGAAACAAACCTCCACATAACATTCACGTAACTTGTCACTAGATAAAGCAGCATCCTTTAGTCGAGGTGCTGCCCAGCCTCCTTTCCCTATCAAACAAAAGTTTTACCATTCTGTTAAACCACAGAGGGTAACGAATGGAAATTCCATGGAAGCGCACATCAAGAAACAAAGTTGTTTGTGTCCCGTGCTCATTACCTATGAATTCCATAACAAGAACATGAAGCCTCAAGAGAATTGGAGCTGGGCACCTGATTCCAGCTGCCCTTAGCCTGCAGTTCCAGAATTCTTTAGAATATGAGTAACAAAATAACACAAGTTGCTCATCTCAAATGAAATTTGATACACAACCCAGTTTTCACATATGAGTTAACTGGAAGGTAACTATTGCTAGATACGAAAGTCTATTACGTGTCGTTGATTTTTGGGTAAGGTAAGGTTCATTGCTAAGGTGCCACCAAGATGGCACTAAAAGGATACAAAAAACTGCAAGGGGTAGACATGCAATAAGTTACATCCTTCTTCTAAGTACATCAGAAATCCATGCATTGGCCAAGCACATTTATTCCAGAAATATGGAGGCATTTATCCTTGATTCTGTTGATATGTGATTCTTCTGAACTTCCAAAACATGTCTTGTTCCTCTCTAGTCAAATGATCCAGAATATATATAGAGGGATGGCTCCCCAGGTCTGCTTTAAGGCTCTAGGAGTTCTCTGATGTTGCCACCATTCCATCAAATCTCTTACCTTCAATGGCATTACCCAAGAGATTCCACAGATGTTTAGGAACAAGTCCCCGCATTGTTTAGTTATATACACTTATTTCTTAAAAAGCCATAAAAGGAAGAGTAAGATCTCCACCAGCATCAAACTTCAAAAGTTAACACATGTCAAGAAACAAGGACAAGCATAGAATAGAATATAAGAAGAAATTGCACTCTTTTTTATTTTTAGGTAAAAAGATTAATTGCACTCAGAAACTGTGTAATAGAACTTCTTAGCAGGCAATGTAGCTGTTTAACATCTCTGGGAGCAAGTGGCAGACATTGCACTATAGAACTTCTTTATGTGCTTCCATAATTAAGCTACAGTTCTCACTGGGTCTTTCTCTTCAATCAAGAAGCCAAGAAAAATAAACAATAAAAACTGAGAGAGAGAGAGAGAAAGAGAGAGGCCTATAAGGGCCAAAGGCTACGAGATCCAAGATTTGAGAATGAGAGTTCACATACCTCATTAGATTCCTCATTTCTTTCTCAGCCCATGTTTTAACCATTTTCCGTGGATTGTGCTTGCAGTATCCATATCTAAAGCGATAGTCACCCTGTACGTAGCGATCTCTATCCCTGAAGTTGTAATGCACAAGTGCAGTGGTCAGCCAAGAGGATTAAACAAATGACAAAGCCCACTTAAGTTGTCAGAAGCTGCAAAACTATAACAGAAGGAAGCGAGCAAAACATGAAGTAGAAATATTTTAGCACACATTACTAATAATATGTGAGATCAAATAATTGATGCTGAACTGACAACAACAACACACCTTGTTTGGTCCCACAAAGTGGGAAAAATTGACGCTGAACTTAAGTGATGAAAATTTTAGCCTTTCAAGTATTAGTACAATATGGATCTTAAAATGCTGAAGATATTTATCTTTCTCACTCTACACATATTTTCGCCTAAAATCTTGTGACTAACACAAAGCGGCAAATTATTGATTTAATCTTTTCCATCATATTGCAAGTTCTGGTGTGTGCATGCACACAAACCAAAAAATGTTTTAAAGGAAGATGACATAAGCATCACACATAAAACTGTTACTAGAATATTAAAAAATTTAAAATAGAAAAGAAAAAGGCCACATGGCATACTTGAATACAAGAACTGAAGTTTTGTATACTTTGATCGCCAGTTCCTGACCATCGGCTTTTGTTGCATGATAAACATTGGCCTGTAAGACAGTAGGAACAGAGGTTTTAGCTGCAACATTTTTAGTGAAAGAGAGAAACAAACAGGTAGCAAAGTTATAGTTTACCTCTTTCCCAGTTGAAATGCAGCCATTAATATCATGAAAGACACCGCGATTGAGCATTTTAAACAAAACCATTCTTGTTCTAGGATCAATTGCCTGGAAGAAAAAAGATAGATCTTTCTAAGAATTAATACTGTGAAATCCATATATAAGCATTTAAAACTGATAGCATTGATATAACATATGGGCAACAAAAAAGCTATGTACTTGAGAGAACATTTGCACAAAAATCAAGTCATGCTCAAGTTATTGATTTTGACTATAAATTTCCACTGATTTGTACTTCTAAAAAATGACTTCAGACTTAATGTGGGTGTACGTCTGGCTCAGGAACTAGAGATTTTCAAGTTAACTTTCCAGTCAAGCATTTTATAAACTGGAATAGTAGGAATCTCATGAAGAATGAAGAATTAG